GTCATGGGGAGGTCACAGCGGCGTCAGGATGAGCCTGCCCCTGACCATGTGCAGGACACATTCAGGGACCGCTCCCCTGTGTACCGTTACCTGGTTGTCAGCCAGAAGGTCGACAACAAGGGGGTCATGATGCTGCGTTGCACTTTTTGCAACAAAGTATTTCAGGGGAGCCAATTCCGGGCGACGAGGCATTTCACGCAGACGAACTACTGCAAGGACGTCAGCGACGAGGCTTTGTACGAGATCGCGCGACGGAGTCAACAGAAGTTCGAGAACGATCAAATGGAGAGGGTTGCCAGGTATGCAGCGGAGCGCGGAATCGATGTGCCTGGCACGGGTGGTGTGAGGGGAGGAGAGGCGGGGCAGCAGCCCGTGGAGGGAGCGTCAGGAGGGGTCGGGGGAGATGGTGGAGGTGGAGACACAGAGGAGGGCGCGATCGACATCGATCGCTAGGCGCGTGTCCTGGGCGAGCAGGTAGTCCCGGGACACGAGGACGTGCCTAAGGTTTATCCAGGTACTGGGGAGAGGATGGAGGACTTTTTGAGGCGAGCAGCCAAGGGACCTGTAGGGGAGGGTTCTTCCAAGAGGAAGGAAGGTGGAACAGATCCGGCCGCCGCCCCAGCTGAGAAGAGGCTTCGCCAGCAGAAGGTCACTGACGTCTACGGTGGCGAGTGGGTTGCTCGCCACAAGAAGACATTCCTTCGCTGGTTGTAATCCAGCGGGATCCCCTTTAATGCCTTCTGCAACCTGGCTTGGAAGGCATACCAGCAGGTCCTTCTTGAGCGGCCTGGCAGTTACCCGCGCGCTGTGCTCCCCAGCCACAGCGAGATTGCGAGTATGCAGGCGGTGGAGACCCACCGTGAGGAGCTGGCGGAAGAGTTGGAGGAGGTGAGGCAGCTATTCAGGATCACTGGTGCCACCCTCCTCTTCGACGGGAGGAAATCACGAGACGAGAGACCGATTGTGAATTTCCTTGCCGCCGGCTCCCGAGGGGTCGTCGTGTACACGGCGATCAATCGCGAGGGCGAGCCGGACAATGCAGTGCACGTCCTTCGGAGATGGGTGACCATTTTTCACGAGCTTAGTTTCGGCGGCCCGCAGCGGGTCAATGCGCTATGCACAGACTCCGCATCGGGGTATGTGGGGGCTGCGAGGGCATTGACCTCGCCAACCATCCCTCCTGCACTCTGGAGGATCACTTGGCTTTCGTGTTCCGTCCATGTCTGCAACAAATTGTTGTCTGACATGGGGACGAGTTGCGACGCGTTTGTGGACGCGATTACACGCGCTCGTGTTTTGGTGGTGTTTTTCAAAACCCACCAGGCCGCCCTTTATTTCTTTAGGAAGCGCAGCCCCAACAAGGGGTTTGTGCTTTCTTGCGAGACGTGGTTCGCGTCTGTTTATTCTATGTTGGAGAGACTGTTGGCCCTGCAGGACGTTCTGCAGGCAATGATGCGAGGGGATGACGGGCGGGAGTTCGCTTCTATACCGTGGTCCGCCGATGTGTGCGACATGGCGCGTTGGGTGCGCCGATAGATCAGGTGGGAGCCTTGGTGGCACACGATGGCCACCATAGTCCACATCATGCAGCCCGCCATCGAGCTGCTCAGGCGGATGGATCGTGGGGGGCAGTACATGTCCCTCATGATCGAGTGGACACAGGATCTTGTCCGCCGTGTCAATGATGCATGCGCTCCTTTGGGGAGGGTTTTCGCTGACCGCATCATCAGGCGTGTGCAGGCTCGCACACAGCACATGCTGGAGCCTGCTCACTGCGCGGGGTTCTTACTGAACCCCCGCAGGTGACATGTTGAGTACTTTTCGGGCGAGGTGAGGGATTACCCACATTGGCTTGTAAGGCAAGCCAAGAGGTACATTTTGACGCAGACGGGTTTCGAGGAGGATGGTATGGAGTACATCATTGCATGTCGGTAGTTTGAGGACTTCCACATGCAGCAGGGCACATTTGCGGATTGGGGAGGGGGGGAGGGGTGTGCTCGTGAGCGTGCTGGCAGCGGCGACAGGGAGACGATTGAGTGCGCGTCCTGGTGGTCTCAGTACGGGGCTGGCGCGCCTAAGTTGCAGCGCTGCGCTCTTCGTGTGATGCACATGTGGTCTTGCGCCTCTCCAGCGGAGAGGAACTGGGCAGTCCACGAGGGCATTCACACGAAGAAGCACAACCAGTTGGCCTTTGAGAAGGTCGTTCAGCTCGTTGAGATCACCGCGAATGTGCTGTTGCCGGAGTATCGGCGGGCTGGGTGCGGTTTTGTGCTGCCATGGGAGCGGGACGAGGGCATGCTAGAATGCCAAGCCGGACTGGAGTTGGAGCCAATGCGCACGGGCACACGCAGGGGGATGACGCCGGAGGAGATTGCCCGTCAGGTTGCACTTATCACCCAGGATCCCATCGGGGTCTCCGCACCACCCGCCGCTGAGGCCGTATTCGGTAGACGTGCTTCCATTTTCCGTCCTTACCCCAGGGAGGATGATTCCGACGAGGAGCCGGTACCCGAGGAAGGGGACCACCCCGCGCTCCACATTCCCAATGAGATCGACGAGACGCACCTGGATCCCGAGGAGGAGACCAGGGCGCATACTGCACAACGGGCGGCCGACAGGGCGGAGAGGGAGATGATGGGGGAAGAGGAGTTGTGAGGACCGTTTGAGGAGGTCGCTTCCACGGGCGGCACAGGAGCGCGGGCGACGAGCCCCGCTCCGACGAGGCGGGAGTCGTCCATGCCGCCACCTTCTGCTCCGAGTCCTGCACCGCCATCGCCCGTCACGCCATATGAGCCGACCATAGCAGCAGAGGACACGGAGGAGTTGGCGTCCTCTTTGCCTCAGCGTGGACTACTCCACAGAGGCGGGGCAGTCCGACAGCTGAGGTTACGATCACCTTCTCCGGGGGTCTTGCAGGAGGAGGGGGGACCGTCGGCAGCAGCAGTGGAGGGGGAGATGGCAGTGGAGGGGGGATTGGCGGACACGACGATTGCAGGTGTGGTGGACCAGATAGTTGTAGCAGCAGCGGCTTCATTGCTAGAGGAGATGGCAGCTTCAGTGTTGGCAGAGGAGGCACCAGCGCCAAGGGGAGCAAATGCAGTGGAGGGGCAGGCGGGAGCAGTTGGAGGAGCAGCGGGAAGAGCAGCTGGAGGAGCAGCTGGAGGAGCAGCTGCACTGGATGGGCTTGCGGCTGCAGCAACAGGAGAAGCTGGAGGAGCAGATGCAGTGGAGGGGGAAATGCCAGGAGCAGTGGAGGAGGAGATAGGGGCACAGGCGGAGGTGTCGCGTGGGGGCGGCGACGAGCGCCTCATGCAGCAGTTCCTCACGGAGCAGTACGATCCGGTCATGGCGGGTATGACCCCAGGTGTGGCGAGGGTGTTGGGGATGTCGGATTCACAGATGGGGAGCCACCTAGACTTAGATTTGTCGATGGGCCTTCCACCTAGTTGCGGCGGGGCGACATCGACGGATCGCGCTTCATCGAGGAACGACACGGCTGGAGAGAGTCTCACCCAACCCTAGAGAGTGACGACGACTGCGTCTCCGGATGCGGCACGCGACATCCTAGAGCGAGAGAGGGCTCGACTTATGGCTTCGACTAACCCTCGTGCTCAGGCGTTCACACGGGCATTGGAGGACGTGAGGCATCGAGAGACAGGGGGGAATTGTGCGGAGGGTGGGGTCACTGGGTTGGTTGCGGGGGAGGATGTTGTGGAGGGGGAGCCAGCCGAGG